GGTACTGACCAGGCTCAGCCCTGCTTAGCTTCAGTGGGTGACCGTGTAAAAGTTGCAGAGAGCTAACTGCCAGCATTACAGATACTTTTGTGAAAATAAAGTATTAATTTCTCAGAGGAAACCCACACAAACGAGGAGAGAACACGTAAACTCCTCAAAGAAATGCCAACGGGCCCAGCTGGCCCGAACCAGCGATCGTCTTACTGTGAGGCATCATATGTAAAACATTTATAAAATAAATAAGTAAAAATGTCAACAGAGGCCCATTCTGAAAATGTTTTTTTTTTCGTGACTCCACCAGAGGCCGCTGTGTATGCTTTTTGAGATATCAAATTTATCTCGAGCGCCATTCGCACCTGCTGTTCTCACGCAAATCCACCAGATGCCGCTGTTAACTGACTGACCTAACCCCAAGCAATAATATTTTCAAAAGCACCGATTGACTCAGACGCCTTTGTTGCAGTTAAGCAGCAAATGATGTCATCTGTTTTGTTTTTTTTGTTGTTTGATGGACATTAAAACCAGACAGCAGGAATAAGTTGTTTACACTTTAAGACAATTCACATTTAGCACAATGAGAAAGTTACAGACAACACATCATTGCTTAAATGTTTACATTCTGAGACATAACCGATGCATAATACTCGTCAGTTCGGACAAGTTAGAATATTGAACATAACTTTTTTTTTACTTCATTTGCGCACTGTAGCAATCATTTAGTTGTTCAGATATGGGCATTTCCTAATATTTAAATACAAGTTTTCTTCGCGCCTTAAGGTTCAATGCATTTAGTATTGTGTGCAAATCGCATTTTTTCAGTTTTGCATTGAAATGTAAAAACAGCAATTTGCATCTTTCCCATTCCTTTAGTCTCTGAACTTACTCTGTGCGTGTTTAAATGTAAGTCCATACATGTGCAATGTTTAATAAGTGAGCGCTAATGTTAAGGAGGCTTTCACATGAAAGTGATGTGTGCTGTATGTCATTCATATCATCATTATTATCTTGTTTTCAACAGTGCGCGAGTACACATGGGAACAAAAGCAGCCACTCAATGAGTTCCATTCAGAAAAGCTCATCCCTATGCCCAATCCCTTCATAGGGTCCCCTCTGAAGAGATCAGAACATATGTCCAATTTACATGATTTGAATGCCCAAATTAAACACATGCTATGACACCTGCACAAAGCATCATGGCCAGAAGTGCCCATCAGTTTTATCCTTCAAAATACTTGATTCTAAATAGTCCTTTGAAGTTGCCAGTTTTGAGCACTTCATTTTGAAATGACTCTTCAATATGGTGATTATGTTTGTTTTCACTCCAAAGTTTTCCTCAGATGGGAATATATCCCATAATGAGTCCACCATGTATTACATTATCCATGTTAAAACACGTATTGAACCATGGAGGTCATACGTAATGGTTCAATAGTACACTGTTTATTCCAATAATGTCTGGCTGCAGATTTGCACATGCAATCTCAGACTCATGCACTCAATAAAGCAGGAGTGCCTAAAATCTGTTTCATTTCGTAAAAAAAAAAAAAAAAAAAAAAAAACATTGAATATGAGTGGGAAAGACCTGTTCACTTTTTAAGACCGGGCCCGCTCACATTTAACATGTCTAAATTCAGTACATACTGTATGTCTGTTCACTTTTTGTTAGTCAAATCCATTCCACTTGAGGATTGCACTATATACATTGAATCTGATTTCATGTTATACACACAATCTTTACCTTCACACTGCTGCTTTCTTAATTTCTTAATTTACTCACCCTTCACTTGACACAAACAAGTTTGAGTTCCTTTCTTCAGATGAACAAAATAAGCCATAGGCTTACATAGTATTTGTTTTTTCTATAGGGTTTCAGTGATTACATTTTCAACATTCTTCAAAAAATATTTTTTTTTTTAAGAAATAAACTCATAAAGGTTGGGAATAATATGAGAGAAATTAAATAATGAGTACATTTTTATTTTTGTGTAAATAGCCTCTTTATATGCAGGGTTCTTTAGTTTGTTAACTGTGTTTTCACTATTCGTCCATGCTGCATAAATGTTGGTCTGCTTGACATGGGTACCATGTAGATTTTAATACAGCATTCAGTTTTTGTAACATTGTTGGCAGCAGTAGCCATGTATTTAGTCCACTGTGCTAACGGTGCTACCTAAAGACCAAGTTCAATTCCCAGCTTGAGGTCTAGTAAAACTGTTGTAGGAGAGGACCTACCCTACTTTTTTCTTTCTTTTTTTTTCTTTAAGTGTTCATGAAAGAAACACTGTTTCCCCATGATCCAACATTGTTGATTTGGTTGTCAGTGGCTAAGTCTGGTATTGTATACCCTCTTGAGTATAGGTGATTATACTAAATAAATATTTTGTTTGCAACCACAAAAATGTACATTCTGTATGAATTTGTATGTGTCTACGCTGTAAAAAAAGTTTATTTACAGCTTTAGCTTATTTTAAATTTAAATGACTACATTTTAAGTTATACAGAGCTAAACTTAGTCAGTTTGATTGATAGAAGTTGAGGTGCGTAGAAATGATCATTTGATTCAACTTAAAAGTTGAAGGCAACAAGATTTGTAATCTGGACATGCATTTGCATTTGCCATGTTTTCATCCTTTACTCAAAAAATAAATAAATAAATAAATAAAATAAAATTATATATATATATATATATATATATATATATATATATATATATATATATATAATTTGCTTTTTCAAACTGCTTATTTAAAATGAGCTGAAACAACACAAATCACACACATCTTAATTTTTTATGTTCAATCCACATAAATTTGTTAAAAGTGTTAAGTTAAACTAATCGATGTGTTGGGGCAACATGAATTGTGTGGAATCCTGCATTTTTTACATTGTTGTATTATTTTGTCTATCTTTTGAGTTTTCCATCTTTGGACTTGTCTGTGTGAACTTTTGTAGTTTCCATTAATGCACGTTAATGAAAAACATTTTAAAACCCACTTTGAAAACTTTTTTCAAAGATTTGCATTTTCAGGTTCTCAAATTCATGATTTTGCGTAACAGTACACTTTAATGACATAATGGTTTTAATAACTCATTTCTAATAACTTATTACTTTTATCTTTACCATGATGACAGTAAATATTATTTGGCTTGATATTTTTCAAGACACTTTTATACAGCTTAAAGTGCAGTTTAAAAACTTAACTAGGTCAATTAGGTTAGCAGGTTAGTGTAATTAGGCAAATTATTGTAGGATGTTTGTTCTGTAGACTACAGAAAAAACACATCGCTTAAAGGGGCTAATAATATTGAGCTTAAAATGGTTTTTAAAAAAAATTGAAACTGATTTTATTCTAGTCAAAATAAAACAAATAAGACTTTCACCAAAAGAAAAAAATATTATCAGACATACTGTGAAAATGTTCTTGCTCTGTTAAACATCATTTGGAAAATATTTTTGAAAGAAAAAAAGTCAAACGGGGCAAATAATTCTGACTTCAATTGTATATTAACCATGTAAATGTGCCTAAACCTTCTTATAAATGGAAATATTTTTACTAATCTTAGTTTTACCTAAACATATATATATATATATATATATATATATATATATATATATATATATATATATATATATATATTACAGTGTAAAAACAATTTTTATCTTTATTTACAAAAATGTTAAAATAATGTTTAATAAATTACAACATTAGATACAACAACAAGAAAAGAAACATTGTGCTTTATAGGCAGCATTAACAAAATATCACAGAAAAGCCTTATTTTCATAATTTGACCTGAATGGCACAAGTTTTAGTAATAAAAAACACAGCTAGACCCTAAAGAGATTTACATAAGTGCTTCAGATTCTCTGACTGACCATCAAACTTAACACTAAAGAGGAAATTGAGGTCACCGGGAACACTGAGGTGGGCATTGAACGTTTATTTGCTTTAAACTGACTTTACGGTGCAGAGGAAAGTTTTTGCTTTATCGCATCCTGCACAGAAACTCTAGTTTAGTTCAAAGGAAGACTTTCAAATGCAATGCAATAACACAGCTTGTGGTGCAGTAGCATCCTGCACAGAAACTACTAGTTTAGTTTTCTAGTGAAAGGAAGACTTTCAAAATGCAATTTAACAGCATGGCTTGTGCTACATAACAAGTGTTTCACGTCCTATTATCCTACTAGAAATTTCTAGTTTAGGTCAATGGAAGACTTCAAAAGCCATGTAAAAAGGTGGACTCCTATATTTATAAGTTCTTTTAAATTCCCTGAAAGGGAACTACATCAGGGTACTAAACTCTGTTCGCAAAAAAACTTTTCCAATCATATGAAATGCCTCATATGTGGACACATTATGATTAAAATTACCCAAAATCTCACAAAATATTATTGCTAAAATTTAGTTTTTGGTGGGAACTCAATGTTATTGAATGCCACAAATGCCACAAATAAACCGTGCTTGGCTTTACAAAGAGGCCAACACTAATATCTTCCAGCTCTGAAGGAAAAATAATAAATAATAGACTAGGTGTATTAACACAAGCGAATTCCTCAACGATGAGAAAAGATTTGGTCAAATTCTTGAAGTGGAAGACAAGGAATGTAATGGCATTTAGTATAATACCTATACCAAAAGAAAAGGTTTTAAAGAGCTTTATCTGAATCCCTAAGTACGTTTTTAGCTTAATCACTCTGACACGAGCTGTCATCTTTCAGAGCTCCTCTTAAGCTATGAATATGTGTGCGCGCGCCCGCGGTCACCAGTGGGTGGTGTCAGCGCGCCCTATAAATATGCATTTCATCTAAACGTGTGTAAAAAAGTCTTTTCCAACAGGGTTGTTTTCAGATTTTGATGAGGATGCTCAGAACTATTTTTTTTGACTGAAATGGATTTGTTTTGGAAAACATTTTTCATTTAGAAACCCGGAAACCGCATCTGACAACTTTTTTCCCCCCACAAATTGGTCTCGAGCACAATAATAAGGACGCTATTAAAATGGCTAAACTGATTCCTGATGCACTTTTGCTAATTGTGAGTTTGATAAACATTTTCACCGTGGGTAAGTGCTTTTGCTGACTGAACTGCATTTATTTCTGTGAGTTTCTGATAAATGTAGTTATTGTGAGTCATTAAGGTCATTTAAACAGTTTGCATTTTAACGTAGTTAGCCTTCTTATTTTTGACATTCATTATCTTCATCATCACTGGCTGTTATGCGGATTTGTGGGTGAATCTAAGTCATTATTGAACATTGAATATCATATAACTTTATGAATTGAATTTAAATATTTCAAATTTACATTAACTTGATAGCTTATTTTAGTACCATTTGGATAATGTTTGCAGTATGACATAGCTGTTATAAAGATGTTGCAAGTTTTCTTTAAAGATTTAATTATTTCCTTCTTTAATGCAATAATACCAAAAAAAAAAAAAAAAAAAAGATTTGCTGGCATTATTAAAATGTCCTAACAATGTATATCTGTGGTAATAATTAATTAAATTCGTGACATAATGCTGATTTTAACATTTAATACATTATTTAAATCTGTAACTTCAAACTCTTGCATGGATTTTCTTTTGATTTGGGGGTGAAACATCCCTGCAATGTTTTGTAAGGTTCACCAATTTGCAGTATATGTGCTTTGACTTTTGATAATTATGAATTAAATTCCAGATACATCGTTTTCCAGTGAGGGAGACTTGCACTCATCTCCAGTCTTCTCTGGTGGTTCCAGCAGTGTTGGACATCAGCAGAAAGAAGCGAAGCTTGTTTCAGCATCACACGCTCACACAAGATCCAAGCGCTGCACTTGCTACTCTTTCAAAGACAGAGAATGTGTTTATTACTGTCATTTGGGCATCATCTGGATCAACACCCCACAGTGAGTACATTTATCCTCATTTCCAAGCTGATAAAAGTATGATAAAGTCATATACTGTATACAGGTTGTTGACGTTACTCTTTCGCTGTCACACATAACAAATTGTGTATAAAACCTGCTGTGTTATAGGGTTGTCATGATATCATAAATTCAGGCCACGAAACTATACCAGCTGAAGTATCACCATAACTAATATCGCAATACTGTATTAATTCATTACTCAAATCTATCAAATAAAGCAAATTATCAGAAATACTATATTTTATATGTCATAATACTTCAATTCAATTTAGAATTCCCTTATTATTGAAAACATTATTTGTATAACCTTCTCTGCTTTTTTGTATAAAGTGTGACTCTTTTGTTGTTATTGCAGTAATAATAATAAAATAAATGAATTAGTAAAAAAATCATTGATCATGCCATATGATCTGTCATGACTGCAGCAAACTACGACCTGTATGCAGACAATTAAAATGAAAGTAAAATAAAATGGTCTATTGATTATTTGCTGGCACAAATGTTTTTGCATTTTAGTGACTTTTCCACCTGCAACCTATAGTAGAATCATTAATAACGATACTGTTTACAAACTACAGTGGCACCTCCAGTATTTTGGAGCTCTAGTATCGTGATGCTCCCGAAGTACATTTTTAACATTCTTGAGCCAAATCCCAAAACTGTCCTTTAGTAAAAAATTTAATAAAAACCTGAGACATAATTGCACAAGTGGCAATTTAGTAAATAGAAAACTTGTTAAATGAATATATTTTTTAAAACACAGTAACTTTTTACACTTTGTCACTTGAAAAAAAGGCTATATGCTAATTTTAAATCAACAATTCCAGGGAAATTTTATTGCTGAATGTAACCCCAAACTATGATTTTTCCTTCAACACACTTGACTGATTTCTATGAGAATCTTGGGTCCATGTGTGTTCCAATAGGTCTTCTGCAGTATTTGTGATGATTGGAGTGCAATTCGAAAGATAGTTTTACCATCAAAAATCTACCTTCTACCACTTTTTCAGCAATGATCAGCTAGTAGTCAAATTATTATTTGTTGTTCTTACAAGTGGGATTGACAACAATCTTTGAAAACAAGTGGGATTGAAAACAAACTTTTGTCAGGTAATGTATGAAGATAAGTGTCCAACAATGAAGATCAATTGCTTTCATGCTATCTCATAAAGAATTGGCTTTCTTTATATTTGCTATACACCATAGGAAATATTTGAGGTACAGTTCAGTAAAAATATATATTTTTTAATCTGTGAAAGAATTAATGGAATTATTGACCTCTTATGCTTTTCTTATAAATCATTTTTACTGGCTATTTGTCGACTACCTGTATACGGACGATACAGGTTACTAAAAGTACTTTTTCTATTCATTCATTCATTCATTCATTCATTCATATTCTTTTCGGCTTAGTCCCTTACTTAATCCGGGGTCTCAACAGTGGAATGAACCGCCAACTTATCCAGCATATATTTTACGCAGACGATGCCCTTCCAGCTGCAACCTCTCTTTGAGAAACATCCATACACACTCATTCACACTCATACACTATGGACAATTTAGCCTACCCAATTCACCTGTACCGCATGTCTTTGGACTGTTGGGGAAACCGTAGCACCCAGAGGAAACCCACGCAAACGCAGGGAGAACCACTGACCTTCTTGCTGCGAGGCAACAGCACTACCATACTTTTTTTAAAAGCATTTTAATAATTATTTTAAATATATGTAAAATATATGGGAAATAATAATATTTTATTTAACTATGATTTAATAATAATAATAATAATAATAATAATAATAATAATAATAATTATTATTATTATTATTATTATTATTATTATTATTATTATTATTATTATTATTATTATAAAAACCAAGTTAGCAGGTGCGCTTTGCAGAAACATTTGTTCCTCAGACTATAGTATTATTAAGGTCTCCAGACAGAGGGATAAAATGAACACCTGGGACTAAAACATTTCATCATTGAGGCAGGGATTCTAAGTCATGCTGAAGAACCCATTTTGAAGGTTTCAGGCCCAGTGACCTTTATATTTAGGACAGGAGCACTGAGATGTGCTTAAAGATAATTGGATAAGGTTATCCTTTCTGTCTTTTTTTTTTGGAACAATGTTATTTTTTTCACTAAAGAGTCATAGAAAAATTTATCTGTTGCAGTTCAGCTTTGGCTTTGAATAACGTGAAAACAATACAAGCAAATTCAATTTAGTTTTTACTTTTAAAATATGTTTTAATATTTAAGACATATTTAGTTTACACAACTAGTGAACAGTTTGGAATAATTAAAATTTTGAATATTCCATTGTGCAAGGCTGCATTTATTTAATCAAAATATTGAAAAAATAGAAATGCTGGGAAATGTTAGCATTCTATAGATACTTATATATTGTGAAAAAATTAAGATTAAAGATTTTAATAATTTGTGTTTGTTTATTTGTTTATGTTTAATCTTACCTTAATTTTTTGAACAGTTAAGTTGAACAGTTAAGGTGCATATACTGTAATATCTGCTTTATCATAACTTTATTCAACACTGCTAATAATAATGTTAGCTTAAGCATTAAATAAAAACACAAAAATTATTTCTTGAAGATCATGTGAGACAAAGCTGTTGTAAATGCTTCTGAAAATGTATATGTGACTATCAGTAATTTATTGCATTTAATATTATAATAGAAAATATTTGTGTTCATTATTATGTTAGTACTGTTTTACTCTGATTACGTATTTTAAAAGTAAAAACAAGAAATTCTAAAAATGCTTGCCCTATATTAAATAATAAACCGGCAATAAACCGGCAACTTATCCAGCACGTTTTTACGCAGCGTATGCCCTTCCAGCCGCAACCCATCTCTAGGAAGCATCCACACATACACTCATACACTACAGCAATTTAGCCTACCCAATTCACCTGTACCGCATGTCTTTGGGGGACACCGGAGCACCCGGAGGAAACCCTTGCGAACACAGGGAGAACATGTAAACTCCACACAGAAACGCCAACTGAGCCGAGGTTCAAACCAGCAACCCAGCGACCCTTCTTGCTGTGAGGCGACAGCACTACCTACTGCGCCCCTGCATCACCATATTCTATTCTATTCTATTCTATTCTATTCTATTCTATTCTATTATGTTTTATTATTCATTTTCTTTTCGGCTTAGTCCCCTTATTAATCTGGGGTCGCCACAGCGAAATGAACCGTCATTTCATGATGTTTTAAAACATCATATGCTCTCAACATCAGCTGACACCCTTCCAGCTGCAACCCATCTCTGGGAAAATTATATTATATTATATTATATTATATTATATTATATTATATTATATTATATTATATTATATTATATAAACAATGTCTTGGTATTTACAAAAACATATTCAGTTGAACTGGCCAGATCTGGCAGAATAAAATGCTTTCTGCTCTTTTGGGTTGTACAAAAGGATTTTTTGTATTTAGATGTGACTGTGTTTCCATGGTGACCGTTACTGTCCATGGTGCTGATGCAATCAAAGTAAAGTACTCTCAAAAATGAGGATTAGAATAAGATTACTTTTGACGTCCAACACAAACATTCAATTAAAAATAAACCTAATTTCCATGCTCATATGGACAGTAGTCAGAATAGTAAAATATGTAAAAGGATTAACATGAGGTCATGCACGAAGCACAACTTAAAGCTCTCAATTCAATGTAATTTGATAGTCAGCAAAAACAAGAGGTAATATAGATATATTTCATCCATTCAGTCCTAGTACAAGTATGACAGCGTGTAGTCATAAATGGCTTCTTGTTACTTAGCCAAAAACAAGGGCTATCGCCACAGGACATTTAGTAGAGGGATTCCGACTGATGCTGGGCTTTTTAAACTATGAATTACGATCTGTTGAGGCACATCACTCACCATGGAAACTGACAGGTGGGCTTTCGGGAATTCTGCTCGGACCCTTGGCTCCACACTCGATCCAAATGGTGAACATTAGAGCAAACACGTCTGAAGTGAGAGGCATGCGTTCAGAAGAAGAGCACTAAAGAGAGTGGCTGGAGATCAGAGGAGCTCATATAAAGAGGAGCTCATATAAAGTGCATGGAAGCTTTCCCAGATGAGACTGCAGAAAGATTTTTGGCTGGTGGTCCAAGCCGTCACCTCCATCACTCGAGACAGCCTTGTATGGTTTACGTCCAACTTGTGTCAGTGTGATTTCAGCTTTGTCTTAAATGCAACAGGTTTCTTTCCGTTTAGGTTCATTTACGGTAGATTTTAAAATCAAACGTAGACGACAATCAGCAGTTAATTTGAGGTCATTGCTTCAGGGCTGTGCAGAGACATTTGATATATACAGTTGAAGTCTTATTAGCCCCCCTGTTTTTTTTTTTTTTTTCAATTTCTGTTTAATGGAAAAAGGATTTTTTACTAACACATTTTTAAACATGATAGTTTTAATAACTAATTTTTAATAACTGTTTTTTTTTTTTTTTGTCTTTGCCATCATGACAGTACATAATATTTTACTAGATATTTTTCAACACCCTAGTATTCAGCTTAAAGTGACATTTAAAGGCTAGGTTAATTAGACAGGATAGGGTAATTTGGCAAGTTATTGTATACTGATGGTTTGTTCTGTAGACTATTGAAAATATATAGCTTAAAGGGGCTAATCATTTTGACCTTAAAATGGTTTCTAAAATAAATTAAAACTGCTTTAATTCTAGCCAAAATAAAACAAGACTTTTTTCAGAAAAAAATATATTATCAGACATTGAAAATGTCCTTTCTCTGTTAAGCAACACTTGGGAAATTTTTAAAAAAGAAAAAGAAATTAAAGGGGGACAATAATTCTGACTTTAACTGTAGCTCCAGTTCGGCTCAAATCCAGACTTGGAACAAAAAATGCAGAGATAACAAAAGGACTGGTTAACGGAGGAACAAAAAGACCTACATACAAAATATCTCTGGAAA